AAAATTATTTAGATATGGCCTTTATTTATATATGTTTTTTTTTAGCGGCACGGACGTACCAATCTCAGTATAAAAGTGCAGTTGTAGTTACTTGTCTAACAATTTCAAAATCTCAAACACAAAAATAGAAAACCAGAGGACGCGGTACATCTGCTGAGCTGACTGTCTATTCCAAGGTTATCATATGTGAAGATCTTGAAAAGCGATTAGTTTTGTCTCAAAGACCACGACTCGCGCGGTAAATAACGTTGAATAGGAGAGGACATTGCCTCAAAACTGCAAACTGCTTTTGCAGACGGCCATCTGTCAGTATAGAAAAAGTCTCGGCGTCCATCAAGAATGAAAACGAAGCCCTTCCGAGCGACAGCGACCCCCAGGTCAGCCGTTCGCCTATCGGCAGCACAGTGATAAGGCTTATCTATGTAGAACATCATTTCTCGCAATACGAATAAAGTAGACAGCGGAAGGTTGGACAAATGCAGTGGACAACCAACAATTCTGCCGAATAGGCAGTGCAGTATTGACATCAATTTTACATACTTAAGTAGTCAAAAAAGAAAAAAAAAAGAATGAGAAAAAACGATGCAAAAACTCACAGTTTATATATATATATATATATATATATATATATATATATATATATATATATATAAAGCTCGGACACTTTATCCGCTTAAAACATTGAAAATTATTCTAATATATATATAAATGACTGGCGTATATGTATGCACATATAATTGTGTGTCCGAGCGTGTACGTGTGTTCAAATATTACGCAAAATTGTTTCAGTAAATGGAGGCAGTCCTAATGCCAGCATGTGACATATCTTGCCGAACTTAACGGATCTTGTCTATTGTAGATATATAACAAACTAGCAGTAGGGCCCGGCGTTGCCCGGTGATGTAACAGTAAGAGATAGATCAAGTATCGACCATCATAAAGATTGAAAAATAAAATTGACAAAGATTATTGTTTAAGGTTGACGGACACGCAAGTCTTTTTTTTTTTTTTTACGAATTGGTCAAACTCAAACAAAAACATTGTTTTCAATCGTTATGAGTCTATCGATTGAATAGAATTTTATTATAAACAATTGTCTTGTAAATGGAATTTTTAAAGCATTCTTAATGTAAAAATAAAGAAAAAAGTGTGCAAGACAATAACAAACAAGTTTTGTTGAAATTGGTTGAAAAATGTAGGAAATCCGATCCCATATATAAACGAACACACACACACACACACACACACACACACACACACACACACACACACACACACACACAACCGGGGTTTTATAATAAGTATAAAACGACATGAGTTGTCTCCCTTTCATTCTCGCAACAGCGATGCCTCTTAATCGTGTTTTCAAATTGATTTCGTGCAAAAACAATTGTGTTTTCCAATTTTTGGCACTGTCAGAACCACCGCAAGGTAATTTTACGTAGTCCTGTGAAGTTTTGTTGAAATCGGTTGAAAAATGTAGGAAATCCGATCCAATATATAAACGTACAGACACACACACACACACACACACACACACACACACAATCTGCGTTTTATAATAGGTAAGATGCGTATATTACATGTAAGTGTATCATTAAATAAATGCAGTTTTATTATTTATATGTACCAGCATGTGTCTTATATCTTGACCAACTTAGTGGTTTTTGCCCATTGAAGATAACAAATATATATATTTTGGAAAATGCTATCATTAAATAAATAAATGTTGGTTAATTAATCCATTTTGAAGTTAATTAATCCATTTTGAAGTTGATTAATCCATTTTGAAGTTGATTAATTTTTTTTACCTGAAAATAAGTCCATTTTGAAGTTGATTATTATCATTTTGAAGTTGAAAAGGTATAGAATTGTGAAGAACTATAAGTTTAGAAATTCATATACGTACTCGTGTATAAACCGACTTCACGCACTGTGCGCACCCTGAATTTTTTGGCATCAATTTTAACTCCCCAGAAAAAGAAATTAAATTGTGTATAGAGGTAACTGAAAATGCATGATTTCCAACTTCATAAAAAAAAGGTTACCTCTGTATAGTTCGACCCCCTATTATTTGAGTAACAATCTGATCATAGAAATTCGTACTATACACAGGTATAAACGATTGGGATACAATGTTGAAGTTTCATTTGAACTCAAGAAAATACAAGCATCATGCAAAATAAAAATGGAGAAACAAGACGCCATGAGTTAAATGCACACCCGCCTGTTGTCATTTTAATCTGACACTTTTTTTTTTCACTATATCTAAACTATATTTATTTAAAATTATAAAATATGTATGTTATAATATCACTAGAAAAATAGCCATTTTGTTTCAACACTTCTGTTGTCTTGTCAAGTGATGGTGTTGCAAGTAAAAACCTATATCTAAACCATAATTTTGGAAAGTGATAATTCTGTTGAAATATGATGAAACATTGACAAGTTTTCAACTAAACAGAAGTAGGGTGGCAAGAAGGAAAAAAACAGAAGTCGGTTACGATATAAATTTTTATTTTATTTAATTTTATTTTATTTTTAGATTTTCGTAAATTGCATTATATGCAGTGGATAAAGACGTTAGTTAGATCCAGTGGCAGGACCCAAAGAGTGTGAGTTCAATACCCGGTTAAGGCAGTGCAGAACTTTCAGAGAGGAATTAACAGAAGATAACTGATAACTGACATCCATTAAACATGGCACGTAGAACTAGAACAGTCTACCCCAGTGATCGGCATTCCAACCACCTGAAGAAGGCTGGGGCGTACAACGGTCGAAATGTTGTAATAAATATGGCGACAATGATAAGGACAATAGTCCGAATAATGTAAATAAGGTATATAATACCACATCTCAGAGATATAGACAGATAAATCAATATATTATTAATTTTGCTAAAATATATTAACTTAATCTGGTACAGTTCTGATGCAGAATGATAAAATTAACTGATTATTTATAAGAAAACATTTGGTATCTTTTAACAGAATCGTCAGTGCGACTTGAGTTACGCATTACTTCACGTTAAATTTGACCTTGTTTCACATCCTGTCAGCGTTAGTAAATACTAAGTGTATTATCTGCTATCATCTCTAATAGTAATAGTAATATTTGTCGTTTCCTTATAGGGAAACATTTGGCATTCATTGTCCAGCAGCAAATTTTACTTAAGTTTTACTTTCTCCACTCACTTGAAGAATAAAACTGTAGCCATCTCTTCTACTCCAACAGCTTCTTATCTCGCACCTCCCGTCAGTGGAACTCCCTTCCTCTTAAATGCTTCCATGATAGTTATAGTCTTATAATATTCAAATGTAATGTGAATCGACATCTTCTGATGCATTGACATTGATCCCTGTCCTCTTTATCCTTTTCCCAAACACTTTTCTTTACTCTTACTCTCACTCTCTGTAACCCCTGGCTTGCTAGTGGCACTCCCGCCTTGCTTGGGACGATTTGCTTATAAAAAATAATATTTTTTTACAGATATTAAAGAAACGGAAACTGCGGGAACCATGATCGCGTCTGATTTTCACTTGGGGTAGCGGTTGTTTGAGCATATTACAACACTTCTAAATTACGTGACTTATCTGTTTAGCAGTGACGTAAGTCTGAATTTGAATCTGGATAGATACTTTTAAATCATACTAGTAAAATTTGATAGTCAACTCTTACAAATTGGTTTGGTTTGTTTTGTTTTACGGCATATCAACCTCAATGGGTCATTTAATGCCGACAACTTTTTGTTTTCCTGGTAATATTTTTGTTTTGTCAAAAATCCATTTCTGTTAAAAAAATTTTTCTCAAAAATGTATAGCTGGTAAAATTATTTTTTTCAAAAACTTATAAATGTTAATATTATTTTTGTTCAAAAACGTATAGCTGGTAATATTATTTTTTTCAAAAACGTACAGCTGGCAACATTATTTTCTCAAAAACGTATTATCAGAGGCCTTGCTGTTGGACGCAGTTTATCTTCTTACCCAGGACGCGGATGTAATCTGAGTGTTATCTATTTGCCCATAGCTGGGACCCTAACAGGTGCTACCACCCCATGTAAGGGTGAACTTGGGAACACCAGCAATTAAGAGGTGGTTCCACGCTCCTCAAAACCTCCTGATCAAAGACATTGCTGTTGGATGTAGTTTATCGTCATACCCAGGACGCGGATATAGTTTATCGTCATACCCAGGACGCGGATGTAGTTTATCGTCTTACCCAGGACGCGGATATAGTTTATCGTCATACCCAGGTAGCGGATACATTTTATCGTCATACCCAGGACGCGGATGTAGTTTATATTCAAACAAATCTTTTAAAATTGAAGTCCAATATTCAACTTATCTTTTATATAATTTTAAACAAGTTAATTATTTCTTTACGGCCCGGTAGTAAATGATCCACGGTCCGGTAGCAGTTGTGGACCTCTGGCCGATCTGAGAGTGTATAAAGCTTGCTTCACGCCCCGAGTGGAACTCCGATATCCGTTACCGTCGCTATAGACACTGAATTGATCGGTTACTTTTAGCACCCCAGAAAGTACCTAACCCCTACTGCCGTGCTCTAAGTTCAGTAAGGTAAGATCAAGCCAAAAATGATGCATGGCTGCCATACCTGGGCTGGAGCTGTTTAAAGATGCTCCCACAAGCATTACGATCTTAACTTGTATATCCTACATATCCCCATAATATGCATTTCTTAATTAAAACTTTTTCGCGCTCACAGCAAACTAAGTTTATGGCTATATCACGTTGAAAGACCGTTTTCACGATCACGAAAGTTAAGCAACGTCGAGCCGGTTGAGTACGTAGAAGGGTGATCGCTTGGGAATACCAGGCTTGGATGTGCTGGTGATCTTACGGCCATATTGCGTTGAAACATTGCTTCCCGTACGATCACGAAAGTCAAGCAATGTCGAATCTGGTGAGTACCTCGATGGATGACCGCTTGTGCATACAAGGTGCAGTAGGAGTGGATGTGCTGGTGATCTGAATTGCTTATGGCCATATCTCGTTGAAACACCGGTTCCCGTAAGGTTACGGAAGTTAAGCAACGTCAAACCTGGTCAGTACCTAGATGGGTGACCGCTTGTGAATACCAGGTGCTGTAGGCTTTGTTGTGCGGGTTGTCTGAAGAGCTTACGGAATATCACGTTGAAACAGCGGATCTCGTACTGTCACCGAAGTTAAGCAACGTCGATTGTGGTCAGTACTTAGATGGGTAACCTCTTCGGAATGCCAGATGCTGTAACCTTGGATGTGCGGGTTGTGTAATGGGTAATGGCTCGGAAACGTTAATCGGAGTGTTGACTTCGAATTCCAGTTGGGTTCATTATATTCACTTACGCGCAAATACAGTTGGGAAAGGCATGAAACCATCTATTCTTCCCCCAGCTATTACTTAATTATTAAAACATGCGGGCCTATATCGTTATTATATCCCCTACCCCCGCTAATTTCTTACAATCTAAAAATATTTTCTCGATTTAAATAACCTGCAATGTATGGATGACCCACAAAACGAATCACACACTCATTGAAGTACTAACTACACAGATTTTAGATTTATTTACATTATCTGGAATGGAAATGTATAGAAAATAATACGGCCGTAAAGTGGGGGATCAGTTTAAGTAAATAATATAGCCGTAAAGTGAGAGATCAGTTTATAGGTTGATTGTAATGTAGAATTGATCACCCACTTTATATCCATATTGTAATTTTTTGTTTGTTTATCAAATTCTAAGTAGGTATGAATCCACTTCTTCCCCCCCAACTATAGGTTAATTAGTAAGACTTGTATGACAAAAATCATTATTATGTACCCTGTTAAAAATATTCTTACAATTTGCAAATATTTTTAGGTTTTAAATAACGTGAAAAGGGTGAATAAACCACAGAAAAGAAATCATTGAACAATAAATTGCATGGACGTTATTCATTAACTCTCTACTTTTCTTAAAGACTCTCACGTCTGGGGTCCAGCCCAACCACACCCTTGCTTGTTGAATCAATCCCTGTTACACTATTATCACATCAATATCAACTCACTAGAAACAGTGTAGAATCTGAAAAATAGTTGGGATTAGAAAATTAGTTGAAAATTATTACAAATAAAAAAAGCGCAGTGTACGTCTGTCCGTCCTTCCGCCTTTGTTTGATATCAGTGAATCATAAACAATCTGAAGTAACACGTAGTAAGTACTGTGGTTACACGCGACGAAAAATTAAATAAATACCTCATTTAAAGTTAAATTTAAAAATCGAACAGAGTGAGAGTTTTAAAATACATTTTTTTTTTATTAAAGGTTTGATTTTAATTTCGCTTTTCGTCGTAATTGCAATTGATATCGTCTAATTAAACCGTAATTAAGACTTAAGCAGGACACGGTACGTTGCTCATATGTTTGTTTTCTTTTTGTAACACGCGTACTGTGACGGATTCGAAATAATACATAATTCTGGTTTTCTAATGTCTTTTAAGTGTGCCTTCAAGCGAAGGGACCATAAAGAATGTTGATTTTAAAAGAAAATAAAAATTGCGCCTTATTTTTGGTCACAAGTAATAAAGGGAGAGTTGCCCTCTCCTAAAAAGAGAAAAATCAATATTTTACGATTTAAAAAGAAAATGTCGGACATTGTTTAGTTCGGACATTCATTACGCCAACCACCACGCTCCTGGCTCAAGTCTAGACGGACGTTAGAGTGGCATTATATGTTATAACATAGTCAGTGTAGATGGTTGCTGGGCGACCAAACAGCCTTGCGTCATGGATAGGTCTCAAGAGCAATGAATCACGAGCAAGTTCTTTTGCACGCCAACAATGTGCGGCAAAGCGCATTCTTCGTTCACGTAAGATTGTAGAACTATCAGGGTTGGAACCGTAGAGCTGTTATATAGTTGGATATTGTCTCCAAGATTTCTTCAAAATGGCTTTCAGCATCCGAGTCTAGGTTCCATCAAGCTTAGACTCAAGGCTTTTAGTTAATGTCTTTGCAGTGGCATAAAAACATTAAAACCGTCTTTACAGTGACTCGAAAGAATTTCCCCTTGAGATTATCCGGTAAGACAGATTTCCAGATAGCATCCATTTTATTCAAGGTAACGCAGGCTTTAGCTGTTGTAATAGATGTAACCGTATTTATTTTATTCTGTCAGGCATTCTTCCGATTTTTTGCTTCTTTGCCACTTACGGTCTTCAAATGTTTAAAAACAACGTCAAACACGATCAGATTTCCAGATTACATCCATTTTATTCAAGGTAACGCAGGCTTTAGCTATGTGAATTTTCACATCTGATAAATGCAATAAATTATATTTTCCTCTTCCTACACTCTCAGATCGACCAGAGGTCCAAAACTGCTACCGGACCGTGGATCATCTCAGTTGATTTGTTAAATTAAGATTCTGATGACGAGACCTGGAATTCTAGAAATAATTTTTTAATCTATAACTTGATTTTGTTTAATCTTCTGACTATTGTTTTTCTGCTTAGTAACGATTGTTAGTGCAGCAGCTTTTGTTTTTGGGGAAGAATTCTCTCCTGAACTGAAACTCTCGCTGCAACGAATTAATTTCACTGTTGGTCATGATGTCATCGCAGCTACGTAAGTATAGCACTTAAAGCTGTGTGTTGATTGGCTGCTTAAGAATTGAGTTGTCAGTTGCCGAATCAAACGGTCAATAGAATTTGTAAAGGCCACGACAAACGTTGGATAAAGTTGACGAGATGCCTTTTGGGGCAATGCGTTGTCACTCGCTGTCGACGAAGGTGAAAACAAGAGCCAATCACTCTATAAATATATATTCGGCCTTTGGACTCGATATTGTTGCCGGCCATTACTACTGACCGACTTGCCAATCAAATGTTCGAATAATTGATGAGATGAGGAGAGACGACAAAGAGTGCTGGAAGTTATATCCGGGTACTTTGGTCATCAAAAGCGTTTGGAAAAAAAATCATCTGTTATTTGGCTTGGTGCCAAATCAATTTTGCTGTTAATTTTACATTCGTTGGTTATTAGCCAGTAAGTAGGGGAGGTTTTGAGCTCTTCGGCAAACGAGGAGAGTTACGAGAAAAATGCGATTCATTAAAAAAAAAGTAAGACTGTTCTTTTAGCAACCGATATAAAATAAAGAACGTGGCATGGTGGTGTACTGATTAGAAGTTCGAATTGAAGTATGGGAAAGACAAGTTCGAATTCCAGTTGAGTTCATTACATTCACTTACGTACTATTGCCCTTGGGAAAGGTAAAAATCCATATCTTCTGTCCCGAGTGTGGATGGTTATGTACAAAACCTTCACCACTATAAAAAAATCTTATGTGCTGATGTCGGGCTGCCGGTTCATTGGAACTGATCTACTTTTGCCCTCCTACGTCGAATTCGACGGGAGAATCGAGTATATATATATATATATATATATATATATATATATATATATATATATATATATATATATATGTCTCTCTGTGTGTGAAAATTTCTCAGATTTAACCCGTAGAAAAGACAATATTTATAAATATAAATGACAATAGGAAAACTGTAAATATTGCTGACGCGTTTCGTCCAATATGAAAATAGCGTCTTCTACATTCCTCCAGTTGCTAAGAACATTCTCTTTGTTGTTATTATTAGTTACTTTCTTTAATTAAATTCATTTCGTTATTTTCTTTGAGAAAGTCCACATTAGACGAAATGCGTCAGCAACTACTACAGTTTTCCTATTGTCATTTATATATATATATATATATATATATATATATATATATATATATATATATATATATATATATGTATGTATGTATGTATGTATATACAGGGTGTCCATAAAGTTCGTGTGCACTTTAAAAATTTATAACTTTATTTGAATTTGCGATAGAGATAATTTCTAAAAAAGGATTAGAAAGAAGTAAATCTATATTTTGAAGGTTTTATTGAAATTTTATGTAAGATTCCCAATGTACTCCATCATTAGCAATACAAAGGGTAGTACGATTTTGCAGTTCACGGAAAACATTTGCCAACTGATTTACAGTAATGCTTGAAATCACATTAATTATTTTAGCTATACTTAAAACTGGGTACATTAAACTTTATAACATTTTTTACAGTTTATTTCTATCGCAAATACAAATAAAGTTACAAATTTTTAAAAGTGCACACGAACTTTATAGACATCCTGTATATATATATATATATATATATATATATATATATATATATATATATGAGTGTGTGTATATACATATATATGTGAAAATATATAGAAAATAGGAAAGAACTGGTTAGGTAATTAAACATATACCCTCATCAATAGAAAATAGAATTAGCATCAACTCCGCTAACAAGGAAATATTCCAACAACACAATGGCTTCTATAACACGGCCCTAAAAAATAGTGGTTATAAAAATGCAAACATTAACTATAGAGACAATTGCACTGGCCAAAAGAAAAAAAAAAACAGGAAAAGAAAAATCATTTGGTATACCCCTCCGTTCAACCAAATGGTTAGTATTAAACTAAAACAGAAATTCTTAGCTTTAATTGATAAACACTTCCTTAACCAATAGTAAGCTTAGTAATATATTTAATAAGAACACCCTAAAATTGAGTTACAGTTGCACTGAAAATCTAGAAGGTATAATAAATACACAATAATAAGATCTTGAACAAACCCCCAATGCCTGAATAGTATTAATAAAAACCCTCCACTTAAATCAGACAACAACAGGGAAAAATTATGTAATTGTAGAAACCTAGAAGACTGCCCATTAGAAAATAAATGCTGCATCAAATCTGTGGTATACCAATGTACTATATCATCCACTGAGTCCTCGTACTAATATGATATACATTGGGTCCACGAAGAATGATTTTAAAGCTAGATGGAGGCAGCATAAGTGCTCTTTCAATAATATAAATAAAAGAAATCAGACTTCCCTATCTAAATATTTTTGGTATCTGAAGGAAATAAATAGGACACCAAAAGTAAAATGGAAAATTATAAACAAGGCTAGAACATGTAAAACTTGAGATGACCCATGCCCTTTGTGCCTCCATGAGAAACTCCACATTATTAAGTTTCGAAATAAAAATAATCTATTAAA